CAGTGTTTTAAAAAGTTATGTTTTACTGTCTGAAAGAACGTGATTTTTTTAAAATTTTTCTTGCAGCTTATTCAAGAATTTCCCCCAATTCTTCTACATTATCTACTTCCCGCGCGTACACCAGCTCCATGTCATCATCATCATCATCATCATTACAGCCTTTCATAAGTCAACTGCTGAACATAGGCCTCCCCCAAGGAATGCCACAAAGCACGGTCCTGAGCCACCTGCATCCATCGACTTCCTGCATGTCTTACCAGCTCGTCACTCCATCTCGTGGGGGGTCGGCCTACACTTCGCCTACCGGTACGAGGCTGCCACTCAAGAACCTTTCTTCCCCATCGGTTGTCGGTTCTTCGAGCTATATGGCCGGCCCACTGTCACTTCAGCTTACTAATCCGTTGGGCTATGTCGGCTACTCTGGTTTTTCTGCGGATACTCCATGTAAAATCCCCAAATAAAAGTCGATAGGGTTTAGGTCTGCAACGTGCAGGCCATTCGATCGGTTTTGTCGAAAAGTTTCGTTGAGATGCTGTCTTGTCTTGCTTAGTGCCAAGAAGCACCGTTATTTTGAAAAATCATTTGTTGTCGTACCGCTACGTTCACGTCTTCCTACAATTCATAAAAGTGATTTTGTAAAAAATTTAAAAGTCCGTCCATCGGTCCCTTTGAATCACCTGGACGGTAATTCAAAGGGACCGATAAATTCTCCATTTAGGATCCCAGACCACAAGTTAATGCTAAAGTGTTGTTGGAAGTTCGATGCCCTTGCCAGACGTGGGTTTTTATGGCCCCGCTATAGTAATTGAGGATATTAAAAATTCCAGTACTTTCGAATCTGGATTAATTGTCCGAAATATTTTTTTAAGAAATCAGGATCTTCTTCAGATATCTGTAACATGGTTTCACAAAAAACTACTCTTCTTCGGTAACCAGATTCCTATAGCTACTGGACACGCGGGATATGGTACGCATGGGTACCATCAAAAACAAAAAAAAAACTCGTAATTATCACAAGTTACAGCACAATAAATAGTTCATAATTTCAGCATTGTTAAACGGGTTTTCGACCCTTTATTTTCTACATTTAATTACTTAAATTTACATAAATAGGCAAAATAGTTTTTTAAAACTAAAATTTTTTTGTGGAGTTTTAGCCTATCCAATTTCGAAGGTCGATTACAGCGAATAATAGCCTATTAAGTACCAATTTTTTTAAAATGTTTTAAATAGCTTAGGGACTTGCAAAGTTTTTAAAGTCAGTTAGAACCTATGGAAACTCCTTTTTGTATTTTCTGCCGTCTTCCAAAAAGGAGACGGTACTCAATTCGAGTGTATGTTTTTTTTTATGTGTGTTACCTCATAACTTTGTACTGGGGGAACTGATTTCGATGATTCTTTTTTTATATGAAAGCTGATAGTTCTCGTGTGGTCCCATATGAATTTGATCAAGGTCAGACCAATGGTTATTGAGTTATTCTTAAATAACTTATATTGAAGTCGGCTGTACAAAATTTTAAATTTTAAATTATTAAATTGAAGTTGAAAATTTGATTCTACCCCACTAAAAATCAAAATTCTTACTTTTGATACTTTTTCGAGTAAATAAGTAAAAGCATAATTTAAGACAATTATGTCAAAAGAAAAAAATATGAAAATAACTACTACAACAAAAGATATGAATTTTTGAAGCCCCACCGGCAGAAAGCACTAAATAAATACAAAAAAAAGTAGAACTCGAAAACTACAAAAAATTGGATAACATACATTGGGTATTTTCGGATACCCCTAGATGTAAGGAACTTAAATTTTTCTTTTGGACGTCACTATTTGGACCAGCCTGTATAAGGCCCGCCACAAACATACGGAATTCCGTTTCGGGATTCCGTTTCGATATTCCGATTCGAGAATCCGAACGCAGCAAGTTCATATAAAATCTATGACCCGTCACACACGTATTTTGCGGGCAAAACGGGATTCCGTATGTGTGTGGCCGACCCGTTCGGAATTCCGTATGTATGTGGCGGGCCTAATACTCTAGAAACTGATAAACTTTTATTAAAAACTAACTTCTCAAATGACAATTCTCAAAAACTTGTGAGCAGAAAATTATTAGCCCTCATTAAAGCCCCGGCTTCAGAAGCTGCTATATGGAAATTATTTTATTCTTGTTAGTGTCTTTCATGTACATAGGCTATGACTTTATAAATTTTTTTATTTTTTGACTCTTGAATGGGCAAAAATTTCATCTCCTACTTTGTCACCTTTAGGGATTGAATTTTTTCTGGTGGGTAGTTATATATTATAATATAGGTAGTAACCATAAATTTAGAGATAAAAAAATATCAATTACTTAATAAAAATTATTTTGCAAATGTTGAAGGTCGTTTCCTGTCGCTTCCCAAGTAGCATGCAAGCTTTTTTTATAGGATAAGGGTGACAAACGAGCACACAGTCCACCTGATGGTAAGTGGTTGCTGCGGCCCATAGACATCTACAGTTATTCTCGATTACGAACCATAATGCAGATGCATTGTCACTCGTGAGACTAAGATGTAATGCCTCGTTTCCAATAAAAAGGGTCTCCGGTTCTCTACACTCACCATACGAAACACAGCAGCATTAAGCCTTTATTTTACGTTGGTATTCTGTGAGAGCGTGGGCCTTCCCCGGTTGAGCCGACCCATTCGTGCTACAACTATACCTACTACTAATATAGCTACAGCATGGCTCTACCACATAAAAAAAGCTGTATACGAGCTGTATTGAAGTTCGCTTTTATACTAGAGAATGTATTTTCTGGTTGTATAAAGGCTGTACATGCGCGTATACAGTTCTTATAAGTACAAAAATGGCACAAATTATACAGCTTTGTGCGTTAGTAGCGCTGAACAGTTGCTGTACAAGCACAAAAGAGGTTGTATAATAGCTGTATTACAGCTGTTATTTGGCGTGGAAGGAAACTATTACACTACAGATATTGTCTTATAAGTAACTTAAAGACAAGCGTTCTAAATTGGGTTTTGAACGGAATTACAAATGAATATAAAACAAAAATAACTTAGTTTTGGATGAATAGATTGTATTTATATACTTTATTGAATGATGGCTATATTTAATGTCAGAGTAATAAAATATTTTAACATATTAATTATACTCGGATTGAAGTCGAGTTTTGACGGTGATAATTGGTGAATTGAAAGTGCATAATTAGATTTATAGTAAACTTTTCTATCAAAAAATTGCCGCGCCAGCAAAATAAACAAACAAGGACAAAATACTAAATACGGTAACTAAATATCGGTTGTATAGGTTAGAATAAAAATATATATTAAATTAATGGATATGAATTCATATTGGGGCACGGTGATCATTAGTCATACTGAAAATAATGGTATAGGCTCAAACTGATGTCTAATATTCCTAAAATTATAATTGAAACTTGTTTTTATGGGTACTAAAATGGCGATAATTAGCTACACAGCATAAACGGTATTTCGAGGGTCTTATAGTCTTAGTGGCTATACTATGTATGTTATAAATTCTATCATACAGCTATTGGTTTTTAATTAGTTGTATAATAGAATATTTTTATCACTTACGCTGTATAGCAGTTTTTTGAACATAACATATAATTCTCTTTAGAGACACGTATAAAAGATGAAAAACCTTGTCTTGGGAACAGTTTTGGATAACTTTTATTTAGATTTGACATGATTTTCTAACTGCACCAATTTTTTATCTTTTTTTCCACATATTGATAACAAATTAATTTTGTTCACTAGCATAATATGCGTAAATACGCAACGCATGGAAAGTTGTGATATTGTGTCAATTACACAGATTTAAGTTGTACTATGGCTGTTATTTTTTTTTAGTTTTATATCACTGTCATAGACAGAAGTTATAAAACTACTTTATTTATAAGAGTGTACAATTACACTAAAAAAATATATTTTAGAAGGGAGTTTGCATACACCATTATTCAGATATAAGATTTGAGTGACACTATATTAACAAGTGATAGCATGCAAAAGACAGCTTCTATACAGCTTTAATGATAAAACCAGATTCAAGTGTTACAAAATATTTAAAATTGTATATTAGAATTTTCATATTCCGATTAAGAACCCTAAGCTTGCTTGGATCCCATAATATAGACTACTCAGCTTGAACTGTATAATAACTCATAAACCACTCTAATAAAGGTACAACCTCTTTCAACACTCGTAAACGCTTCTAAAAGAACTCTAGAAGTTCTATGTGGTCTGGTATATTGATGTTCATAACGCTTCTGTACTGCTTGGGTGTCCTTTCCAAAAATTTCACTATTGTGTTCCTGAAATAATTAACTGTCCCCGATTTTTTAATTTAAATTTTAATGAGATAGGTTTGCACGTCTACGAACTACTTGCCACGAAGTCCAAGATTAACATGTATAGCTATTTAGTGTGATGTACAACTAATTTGTACAAAAACGATTTCAACGTACAGAATCGAAGGCCATCACACAACGTCCCTTGAGTGGAGAGTGAGTGTAGTGAACCGGAGACCCTTTTTAGTGGAAACGAAGCATTCCTTTTTACTGGAAACAAAGCATTCCCTTAGGTCCTCAAGGGTGACAACGAATCCGCATTTTGATTCGAGGATCGACGTAGATGTCTATGGGTCACAGAATCCACTTACCATAAGGTGGTCTGTGTGCTGGTTAGTCCCTTATTCTATAAAAAAAAAACTAAATTATCTAGACTACTATGTTCTAGATAGTTGAGTTCTTGTTCAATTATCTAGGCTCGAAATCAGTTGACTAAAGTCACACAAGTGGAAACAACTACCACCATCACATCATCACCACCGTCACCACACGGCATAAATTCGATTGCTTACATATAATTTGTTCATATTGCAATGTATTAGTACGGTTGTGCCCTCTGCTATCAAGGGTATAAAGTAGATAATAATATGACGTGTTACTAAACTAAAATTGGTTTATATTTTAGGTGACCTATTCCAGCGGAGTTGAAGTGAAGGAAGGCAATGAGCTCACTCCGACCCAAGTGAAGGACCAGCCCACTGTGTCGTGGGACGCTGAACAGAATGCCTTCTACACCGTTGCTATGACTGGTATGTGTAGCAGTAACTTTCTCCATAATACTCTTATTTTAAATTTTATTGCTTTTTTTAAACCTGGGTATGCCAGAAGAAGCATAAAAGTAAGTTGAATGCAGTGGAGATGCGATCTCTTCGTAAAATGTGCGGCGTTACCATGGCCGACCGAAAGCGAAACGAAGAGATTCGCAATATGGCAGGTTTGAAAGATGACCTTATCACAAAAATTGATAAGGGCGTGCTTCGGTGGTTTGGGCACGTTGAGCGAATGAGTGAAGACCGAATGGTGAAGAAAATATATAGCGCGAAAGTTAATATTAAAAGGTGTCGAGGTAGACCGAGACTAACTTTCGAAGACCATGTGAGCAAATTGCTCGAAGAGGGTAGGGTCAAAAGTACTCGGATACCTAGACGTGCATGCATGAAGAAGATAATGAATCTGAAAGAAGCGAAAGAGGTTTGTAAGGATCGTGACACTTGGCGATCTGTTCTCTCTGGCTACCCCGTCAGGGATTGTGCGTGAAGATAAGCAAGCATTGCTTTTTTACTGCTATGACTTGTCGTAAATTTCACAGTACGTGAGCAGCCCAGGTTCGATTTCTGCCGGCATAAATAAAATTGTTAATTGAAATTTTAAGTGCCGATTTACGTAGTAGAACCACATACTGCAGCTATCTTATAGTTGTAGCACTAAGGGGTCAGCTCGACTGAGGAAGAACCACACTCTCACAGAATACCAACGTAAAATACTTCTACAACTTGTTACTCCAATTCTATAGAAAAAAACCACGTGCTCGGCGGTGACGGTAAGAGTTAAAAAGTAGTATTTCAAAACATGTGGAATTCACCAACATGTATTAGGGCTGCGCCGCGGACACTTCCGTGCTCTAAAACCTTTCTCATAAATCAAAGGAGACTTGTGCCCAGCTGTGGGACGTAAGGCTGTATCCTTTAACAGGGTTAAACTGAAGTATCATTATCACGTAATAAAAAGAGGATACCTGTGCAGCTTCTTTTGCTGCTTCTTCTTCCGTCAATGGGCCAAGGAAAATATTTCATTCCATTTCATTTAAAATTTATTTCATTTAATGTATGGTCGTCTCTCGGTTTCCAGATCCCGATGCGCCGTCCCGTAAGGAGCCGAAGTTCCGCGAATGGCACCATTGGCTGGTGGGCAACGTTCCCGGATCGGACGTTTCTAAAGGCGACGTCCTCTCCGCATATGTGGGCTCCGGACCACCACCGGGCACCGGCTTACACAGATACGTCTTCCTTGTCTACAAGCAGCCGGACAAGATTGAATTCAGCGAGAAGCGCCTGACTAACACGTGAGCAGTTTGATTTGAAAACCTTGTTTGTCTAACATCGGAAACGACTGTGTCAACAAGTTATTCTTTTTTGATAAGCGAGATCACAGTCCACCTGATGGTAAGTTGTGTCTGCAACTTGTAATAACCCTCATATCATTGAGATGATCATGATAATAATCCCAAAATAATAAACGGTGGCTTCTAACCATCCTTGTCAATTGTGGCATCATACAAAATATTCCACCTATGAGGCAATCTATGTGACTACGTTCAGTAGTAGACTTTTGTTAGGCAGTAACGAATAAATGATGATTGAAGTGAGATTGAAGGAGGGTTTTTTATTCCTAATAACGGCGCAATCTACTTTTATAACTATAGAGTATGGACACCACTGATAGTAATAAACATAGTAGGGATGTGCAAGTGAAAAATATATCGGTATTTATCGTATCGATATTTTTAAACAGTATCGATATTTATGTCTATGTATATATGTGATGATATATCTATATATATGATACTTCGTACCGGTAGGTGAAGTGTAGGGCGACCCGCCACGAGATAGAGTGACGACCTGGTAAGACATGCAGGAAGTCGATGGATGCAGGTGGCTCAGGACCGTGCTTTGTGGCATTCCTTGGGGAGGCCTATGTTCAGCAGTGGACTTATGAAAGGCTTTAATGATATATATATATATATATATATATATATATATCGCGTGATAAATATCGATATATCGTTATGTTTTGCATGATGTAGTAGGTTAAAGATCAAAATTTTATTACTGGACGTTTTGACGACGAAAAAAAAGACAACAACACATGATTGCTTTTTAAGTTATAAATAACATTTAAAAATATTTCTAAATTGATACGAATCCGATACTTCAAAATAAATAACGAATATCGATACATTGCGAACATTAAAAATATCGACGATAGATATCGATTATTTTATGAGAAAATATCGATGATCCTTATGGACTCTAATAGTATGCCCCTTTGTTATTTAACGGTAGGACTTGTGCACAGGATTGCATGAATTAATTCCTCTCTCTTCCTCCCACTGTCAGACAAGTAGACGCTTGGCAACACTCCACCCGTTTAAATAAGCTTTTGTTATGCTAAATCAGTGCGTTTTACCATTTACGACATATCATCAGGTGTAACTAGTCGGAATCGTATGCCGGTGTAAATTACTCTGTGACTGCATATTCTTTTGTAACCTAAAATTAGGTATTAATGTAAAAGACATCTTACACTGTGCAACTTGCTCTAATGTGCAACTTACTCTTGTATCAAAAATGCATTAATTGAATGCAATTAATTGTGCGCAATAATACCTTATGAAAACAGTTACTTTCAGTAACTGTTTTCATAAGGTAAACAGTTACTTTTAATTCTTAATTATGTTATATTGTATGCTTCTATTGTATACATCAGTTTTGACAAGTAATATTTGTAACATCTATTTGTTTATACCACTAACATTGTTGAATAGAGAGAATTGTGTCAAAGTTATATTTATATGTGGCAAGGTCACGTTGCAGCTTTATTATGGTTGTTGCACGAAAGGGTCGGCTCGACCGGGGAAGGACCACGCTCTCACAGAATACCAACGTCAAATAGCTGTTCGTGTGGAGGGGTATAGAGAACCGTAGACCTTTTTTTACTGAAAACGAGACATTTCACTTTATTCCTCAGGGGTTCAAGATTTCTATGGACCACATTATCCACTTAACATCAGGTGGACTGAGAGCTAATTTGTCACTCTTATTATTTAAAAATTCTTACCATTTTTGTGACCACTTACTTGTCTGTACTATGTTTTGATTAGTTGCTTTATGGAAGTATTGCAAGTATTTGCGGATGCAAATTTTTCATTTAATATTGAATGTAATAACATTCAATATTAAATGAAAAATTTGCATCCGCAAATATCCGCAAAAACCCTCTTATTGGGAATACCCAATAAGAGGGTTTTCTTGAGTTATGTTTACACTAGTTATAGTTTGGAATTCAAACTAGCAGCTTAGTATTAGTATGCAAAATTAGTATTAGACATTGTTTAGACGGTACATGTTTCCTTTATTGTATGTAACACTAAAGAAACTTGTACGATGTAAATGGGCCTTAATTAATTTACACAAGTACATAACACACTGATGATAACGATTAACTAGTGAAGACAAATGTGAATTTGGTTTATGTTAGTAGAGAAGATTTGCACGCTTGGTAAACGGTTTGGCGGCTTTGTATTGTTTGGGTATCATTTCTTATAGCCGATTTTTGTGATAGCTACAAACAAGATTGATATTGACTGTTGTGTCACCCGCGTACCGATACTCCTAATTAGTATTTATATATTAGTATAGCTTCTCTCATTTCTTTGAGGAAAGAAAAGTTTTTCAATATACATTAGAGAGAATTGTATATTCTCGAATTTCACATGTCCTTGAGACATTGCTTATCACCGCCAATCGCAGATTAAATCAAAACTTGTGTATGTATTAGAGTATTCTATGTGCAGGACTTAACTTTACAATAAACAATATCATTGCGGTTGACGAGTATCTAAATTTAAGACTAACATTACTTAGACGCGACTCTTAAAAAATGGGCTATGCAAATTACTTGAAGTTGTTAATTATAAGTTATTGATTACAGTTCCACTGACGGGCGCGCTACTTTTTCGATTGCAAAATTTGCGGAAAAATACAACCTTGGCAACCCAGTCGCTGGCAACTTCTACCAGGCGCAGTATGACGACTACGTACCCTTGCTCTACAAGCAACTTGGCGAATAAACATCACATTGTATTGTGAACCCTGGATTCATAGTATTGTGGCAAAATTAAAGACTGAATAGACAGCCAGTAAAAGCAAATACATGTATACAGGGTTACTATATTTAAAATAAAATTGCATTTAAAAAAATCAACTGATCAGTGATTTTAGATTCCTTATATTTTCGTTCTTGGATCGGTTTTGTTTTCTCTTAGATTGTAAGGAAAAGTGTTTGTCATTACAATTATATCACTATGCTCATTAGATGTTTGTTTTATTTGTCCAATCCATTGTGTAGATTTTTGTTTTTATTGGCAGACATCCCAAGCTCCCAAGTCAACCGACAGTTCAAAGCATTGTTATGACTGAGGGTAGACAAATATAAAATAAATAATCTGTATTATAAAGAATAAATTCTGTAGAAATGCGGTCAGGAGTATGCTAGGGCTGAATCTGAATGACAGGGTGAGAAATTATGTGATAAGAGAAAAGTGTGATTTGCAAAATGATATTGTGACCTAGATTAAGAAAGGAATGCTTCAGTAGTTTTGTCATGTAGAAATAATGAATGAGGAAAGTGTGACAAATGTTACCAATGGATTTTAAATTATCGACACCTATATAAAATTTACTGTAAAAGCTCGAACTACGGCTAATCCTAAGATTTTATAGTAAAACCTAGGATTTACTAAGTCTTAATGGTAAAAGTGCGAACTGTTTAGTAGACTAAAATTAAGTATTACCAGAGTAATACTTAATTTTAGTCTTGGGTAGTTCGCGAATGACCTAGGTGAGAAGAACGCTCTTTTAGGTGAATGATGACGAATGATTATGACTATGCGAACTAGTTCGTCGACAATCTCGCTCTTAGTTCGTTAATCATTTTTCTGGCGTCCTCTAGGTATTATGTAGTGGCGCTGCATGCCTAACCGATTGATTTATTTTTACTCTTACCGTTCTTACCGGATTTAAAGTTTTATTAGTGTACAATTCACAACAAATATCAAATATTGCTGGCTCACAATGTTAATATGAAAGTGATAGTAAACAGTACATAAATACAGTATAATTCTCAATTCGATTTTACGGTATTTATTCAAAATTAAAATTTTACTTTTCTATTTCTACTAATTTTAATAAATACTCGAATACAGTGCAACCTCAATATAACGAAACTGAATGGAATTAGAAAGTATTCGTTACTATACCAAGTAACGTTATAATGAGGTTTGTTATATAGAGGTTAGGTGGAACTACGATTCGTTTTAACAAGGTAAGAAAACTTGTTTATTAATCTCAACATTACGTAAATAGTCATCTGCCTGTCGTGTACGACACGTACAACGTGAACCTGTCAAGACATGATGTATTGTGGAATTAAGTGGGAATAATTAATAGGATATAGTAAGATACATATTTTATTTGCTTTACTCAGTATTCCCATTAGATACGGTAAAACTAATATTACTATTGTAATCTATAGATTATAATAAATAAATCGATATGTATTTTAATTATATACAATATTAAAAACTATAATAATAATAAAAAAACTAAAGCTAGAAACTTAATTATCATATAGTCCTACTCCCCGCGGTATCGTGCCAAGAACGCTGGCTGCGTTTCCCCGCTGAATGGCTATACTTAGCCTTTGAGCGAGAAAAGAACCAGCCCTCTTATCACCAGCAGCAACGACCAGCCGCGGATGGAGTTCCTTTAAGAACTTCACCGCACGTGGACCCCACGGACCGATAGTCTCTACAGCAAATGGCACAAATATGTAGTTATCTCTCAGAGACTCATATTACTTAGTTCAGCTGCCTCTGATGCCGCCCCGGCTCTAAACGAGGTACCCCTGAGATGAGAGGCCGCCAGAGTGTCTACGCAAGTAGCATCCCACACTAGGGCTTTACCTTTCTCCCAAGGGACCAATGTCATACCGTTGGGTCTCCTGCCATCGTCTCTAAATATTCCACAAGGCTCTAAAACCGAGGGAACATTTATAGAGACAAGAGCCCTTCGGATGACATCGTTCAAAGAACTGTGTCGTGAAAACCTACCAGCGCTTTTCTTACATGAAAGTCCGTGGAGCCCAAACTTGTCGACGCTGCTACCACAGGGGCACTCATGGGGTTGACAAAGCGCCGCTCCTAGTCGGATTCCTACGGCAATACGCAAGCTTTCCCCATCAAGTAATGTGCCGAGATTACTTGATGGTAAAGCGTGTAACCAGTGACTAGATTCCTTAGTCGAAACAGCTATAAGGCGTGCCTTATCTAGGTCACTATGGAAATTATGAAACAAATCTTTCTGCATGCCTCGTACCAACGGAATATCCCACTGTTTTTGTTGGTTAACTTCCAGTGGAACATTTTCACCGGGACAGAGCGTTTGCCATGTCTGCACTGCCTCCGTAGCAAAGCATAGGTCTACTTTATTATTTAAAATTATGTTACATAAGTCACTGACTCTATGCACGGAAGCAAGGAAAGCAGGCAATGCAATGCTAGAAAGATTTCTCACACCAATGCTACCAAATTTTATAGGTAAAGTAGCTTGAGTCCAGGCTGTTGTATTTGAAGTGAAATTTAGAATTTTTTCTATAGCTATTCTAAGATTATTATCAATATCTTTTAAAATATCCGAACATTTTCAGACTGGACTCGAGCGAAGTAAGTATGTAAATCTAGGTACAAGGAGACAATATTTTAAAATAGTAAGAGTTATGTGGGGCTTTATTTATGTATTTATTATTAATTATTTTTAAAATTTCGAAAAATATGAGTAAGATCACTGAGGACGTCATCTGCTCTACCTCCCAGTGTACCGTCGTCCAGGTACCAGACATTCAGCTTGGATTTCAAATTTGAAATAATGGGTTGAATTCCCAAACTGAAAAGTGCTGGACCTAGTGGGTCACCCTGTTGAACACCGACAGCAGAATCGATAACATTATTTTCGTAAAACAAGTTAGTATTTTGACTATAACATTGCCAAACGTAATGATTAATTTCGGGGGTATTGTTAGCCGCTTCTTTCAGCAAGGTTACCTTATCGATAGAGTTAAAAGCATTCCTTAGGTCAACCTTCACAAGAACATCTGCATCAGAGTTTGTTAAAAATGTACGCACTGAATGTACCGCCGCCTCACAGCCACCTCTAGTGCCAAAGCCTAGTTGAGTAGGCTGAAATTTGGTCTTAAGGATAGAGATTATGTGCCTGCAAGCTAATTTTGAAGTTAAGCGTCGAAATGTAGAACCAACGGCAATTGGACGAATACCGTTATCCTTTTTTTTTGAAGGCACATAATCTTACCCCGTATAAGAATGGAATGAAATTTGGATTAACATTACCAGAAAGCATAAAGTTACATAATTTTGTAATGTCTTTAAGAAGTACTCCGCCGGCGTCCCCGGCAGAAGCGCGTACAAGATCTTTAAGATGTTGAGGCGTAATTCCGTCAATGCCGCCAGCAGAGCCATTCGAAAATGACATAATTGCTTCTGTTACGGCCCTCAGTTACCCCGACAGAAGTCGACTGGGCTAGGGCCCATCAGTAGCTGACTCGACGGGCAACCAGAAGGTTCGGGCCCAAATGGCCTATGGATAATTATTAACTAATGGCTGATAAGCAAACACAAACTTACCGAGTTCCGGAGGTAGGGTCGACCACAAGGCAAAGTCAGGTGGTAAGTAAGTGGATGTAAAGTGGTGTGTGAAAGTGTGTAGATGTAACCTGACGTCACCGATGTAATCTGACAGCAGACCCACAGGCGCTGCTTTCCTCCACAATGTGCGATCCCTCCAGTGGGCGTTCACCAATTGAGATTTTCTGCTTTTATATCACTATATAATTTTATCAATTTTATTGTACATTCAATTAACTTCAAATTTAACTAAATCAACGTTAATCGAACTTAAAACAAGTGACACACTGCACAATTTAAGAACTGTCGGTCAAAGTTTAATGTCCCATGTTCACTTAGCACACGAACACGAACGCGATCTCCTCTTGAATCACAAAGTTTTAGCGTTCCACCCGACAAAGCAAAAATTCCTTCGTACGATATTAAAATGCCACACAAGCAACTCGTCGACGCAAATTAATGGCAACCGAAATTAAGTTAATCACTCAAAACTCAAGACAAGCCTCGTTATCACGTAAAACGCACAAAATAAGACAACCTATCAGAGGCGGTCTTAACGCGACCTAACGTTCCGAGCGTAAATTCCAGGCCGTCTAACCGACAGCGGCCGCGAACAATTGCTTGATTCAGTCTCGCCGGCCCCCGTCCGGTGAGACGCGCACGGGAAAGGGTGCCAGCCGGTGACTGGTACCATCGGATGAACGCGCCGAGACGCGCGGCTTGAATGCAAGTTTTTAAAATGTTAATGGCCTAAACAAACCCCCGTCCCGGGCATAAGGACTTATGTCCGCGAGTAAATTGGCAAACGGGATAGGGTCGCGACGGCACGTTGCAAGACCGAATCTCCAACCAAAACCTCGGCCACCCTAGGCACCCCATTCGATCCATACGACAACTTAACAATGCGCCGACGGCGCCAATACAAAGGCAAAGCGTTGAATTCTTTAACTAACACGAGGTCTCCAACTCGAGGAGGATCCGTCTTGTCAGACCACTTAACGCGCTGCTGCAAAAGATGTAGGTACTCCAGAGACCATCGGTGCCAAAAACTGTGAGTCATTTGTTGCAGCAGGTCAAATCTGCTCAACTACGAAGAGTTTATTTCCCTGAAGGCGTTAAGCGGCTGGCCAATCAGGAAGTGGCCCGGGGTTAAATCCTCCAAATCATTCGGATCGGACGAGAGGGGACAGAGGGGCTGAGAGTTGAGTACTGCCTCAATTTTACAGAATACAGTGGCAAGCTCCTCAAATGTCAAAATAGTTTCGCCAATAACGCGACGGAGATGCGTTTTTGCAACCTTAACCACCGCCTCAAAAATACCGCCCCAGTGCGGCTAAGCCGGAGGGTCGAATTTCCACTGGATGCCCTTCTTGGACATCGCAGTACCTAAATAAGTCCTGTTGCTAGACAGAAATTCGACGACCTCTTTCAAATATCTATCTGTGCCCTTATAATTCGTTCCGCAATCAGACCGGATCAGGTCCGGCAAACCACGACGCGATACGAAGCGGCCCAGCGTGGCCACAAAGGCTTCAGTGCTGAGGGCACTTACAAGTTCTAAGTACACGGCGTTAGTGGAGAGGCACACGAAAACGCACAGATAGGCCTTATGTAAA